AATTAAGATATTTATTTAAAGATTTCTTTTACAATTTTCGTGATTTAGTCATAATTAATTTCTCATTTTTATGACATTCAAAATAATTGTGATTTTATTTTTCAAATAAATATTTATTTTTTATTGAAGTAATTTATTTAATACCCTTTTATAGTTTTCATCAAAAATCACATGTGATCTCCACAATCAATTTTTCCAAAAAAAAAAAATCGTTAATTTTCGTCAAAATATCAGATGTTATATTGATCATAATAAATTTAATTGAAAAATAAATGTAAGTTATCCATAATATCATATAAGTGTATTATGTTACACAGTCACATTTGATCTATTTCCATTTTGTTTTCAATGTTTAATTTAAAAAATTATTTTTCACGTTTTAAATCACATGTAATTAGGAGAAAATTTTGAAAAAATATCATTTAATTGTGAATCAAATATGATTTTGACGAAAATAGTATTTTTTTTTAAATAATTCCTTAAATAAACAATAAATTCTTTAGTAAAAAGTAAATTACCTTAAAATCACAAAAAATGATAAAAGGAATTTTTTTAAATAAATTTCTAAAATAATTTTTCTATAATAATATAAATAAAAGATTTTTATGTCGTTATTTATTTATTTTTAGAGTTTAATACATTATTTTATTACCATAATTCATTTTTTTATTTGATTACTGTTAAGATTTGAACCCCTCAGATTTGTATGCTTGTGTATATATATAATCGCTGAACCAAGATCCAATTTGACTTGTACAATTATAAGGTTTTAATTTGTGATTCAGACGCTCTTGTAATCATGAGCACTCTCTCAGAAGCCTATGGAGATTACCCCATCCCTTCTGATATCACTCCTCTTGACTTCAACTCAATCGATAAAGTCCCCGAAACCCATATTTGGTCTCAACCCGACCTACAAACCCACCAATATCATCCTCAAGATCCAATCATTCCCGTCATCGATCTCACCGATCCCAACGCAATCGATCAAATACGTCAAGCATGCGAAACTTTGGGCATGTTTCAAGTCATCAACCATGGGGTGCCGTCGGTGCTGGTCAATAAGGTCGAGTCAGAGATACGAAGGCTTTTTGGTCTGCCGATTCAGGAAAAGTGCAAGGTCTTGAGATCACCAACCGGTGCCACCGGCTATGGAACGGCTAGGATCTCGCCGTTTTACGATAAGGGTATGTGGCATGAAGGGTTCACCATCATGGGCTCTTGTCTTGATGATGCTAAGACTCTTTGGCCACATGATTTCCAAGGATTTTGGTAAGTTTTCGACTTGTAAGATTTATTCAAACACTTCAAATATCATCTCCGATATATATACGTTTTGGGGTTTGACCAAAAGTTTCATGCAGATTCATGCACGTAGCATTCATAAAACATATATAGGTAGCATTAAGTTACTTGGTGTACACGTCATACTCTCAAAACTAACATTTTATGTATTTATTATTTGTGCAAATTCTTAAAAAAAATTGTTAACAATTAATATCCACGTCAGTTACTTCCAGTGGCAGCGGTTCCAACCTTTAAATTTTCTATTTTCACTCTCGTCTTAGATGGTTTTCCCTTAGTCCCATATGACCATATGTTTCCCTCTCCCGGGTTTCGTCCAACGTGCCCCCCACCCTATTAATTTCCTGGATCCGTCATTGAAATTATAATATATCTTGATTAAACCCATGAATTTTTGAAGATAACAGTCAGGAAAAATCTTCAGCCACCTTAAAAAAAAAATGGAAGTAATGATTCTGCCATGGAAAAATGAAAATTAAAAATATTTTTTTTATCAATGACGTGTTATCAACTATATTATATGTTTGATTTGTTAATTGTTATAAATAAATTAATGATGATAATTTCTTGTTTTTTGTCATTAAGTTAAAAGGAAGAATAGATAAATACGTCTGATTTTGTTTTTTTTTATACCTGAATAAATAAATATATATATACAGTCCCCTTCTTTTGTAAACCAAATGATTAATATTAATTTTGTTAACCGGGATATTTTTGTTTTTTTATATATTAAGGAATATTACTTAAAGTTCCTTCATTTATCGTTTCACCTATGAATTTTTTTTAAACTTCTTCAATTATCTAATTCATTTTCTGGTTTCATCCATGAACAATGGTAAGAAAAAATTGGAACAATCAAAGTTCATAGACGAAACAAAAATCGTTGTCTCACCCATGGAAAAAAAAATCGTTGTATTTAGTATTTCATGATTATATAACAGATGAGTCTTCAAATTATAAAGAAACTGTTGGAAATGCTCTGAATTGTTAATTGAAATTACTTTTTCATAATCAATACAAATAAAATAATACCGAGAGTCATATTCAAGTCAAAAACAGTTATGCAACATATTGTATTCAGTATTTCATGATTATATAACAGATGACTTGTATTTAATCATGTGTTTTTATTTATGAATATAGTGACACAATGGATGCTTTTCAAAACCAAATGAAGCTACTTGCCCACAACCTCTTGCGTCTAATCTTTCAATCATTGGATGCAACACAAGAAGAAATAAACTGGGCAACTTCAAGTCATGGCTCTCAGGGTGCACTTCAACTCAACTCGTACCCATCTTGCCCTAACCCTGACGGCACCCTGGGTCTTGCCGCTCACACTGATACCCTCCTTTTGACGCTTTTGCACCAAGGTGGTGGTGTTAATGGCTTGGAGATCTTTGTTGAAGGTTCAGGTTGGACTCCAGTGAAACCAGTGGAGGACGGATTTGTGGTAAACTTAGGTGATCTCATGCATATATTCTCTAATTCAAAGTTTCCGGTTGTTTATCATCGAGTGATGGTGAACCAGTCGAAGCAACGTATATCGGCTGCTTACTTTTGTGGACCTCCGGTTGAGTCTGTGGTGGCTCCGTCGTCTAAGTTTCGAAACCCTTGTTTTAGACCTTTGGTTGTGAAAGAGTATATAAGCTTGAAAGCTAAGCATTTTAACAAGGCTTTATCCTTGATTGGTCAAGAATGAAATACATAGAAAAGGTCGAATTCAATAAATATATAACGATTGTATTTCAAATTTTATAACGATTGTACTAGAAAAAGAAATATATAATATTCAACTTTTAGATTTAATTACAGAAGTTTCAGACAGACTCTTGATCTGCTTTTATTTTTATAGTTAACTAAACAATATATTTGATACTTTTCTATAAAGACCTTAGTGTTGTTATTTTTATATCAGATAGTTGCAGTAATGTCATATTGTTGGTAAAATGATCATACTGTAACTCTTATTTCTACATATTCTTTCTTGTTGGTTAACATACATTTTAAGATTATCTGATCTTTCTTATTATAATATTGTACATTTCTTGTTGGTTCACGTACATTTTAAGACTATTGATTAGTTAAAAAGGTTACTTACACAGCATATTTTCATAAATTTTCTTATTAATATTGTACATTCATTTATTTTATTACAACAATGTAATTTTAAATTAAACTTTTTATTATAACATTGTACTTAAAAAAATTATCGATTAAATAAGTAATCAACTGTTTGAATTAAGATGATATGATATACGTTATCAAGTTTCCATATCATATCTAACATCTATATCATATCTAACATATCGCTCATGTAACATTTTTTGTTATAACATTATATTTTCAAAAAAAAAAAAAATTTGACATTACATATTATTTAATAAATATATTAAATTAATTAAAAAATTTCCCAATTATTCATTAATATAAAAATGTTAGAAGACTTGTATAACACAATCTATCTCGTTATTTAAAAAAAAATGTATTTTTTGAGCAAGAAAAATAAAAAAGTATTAATTTGTTTACGTACAAAATGTTCATTTTGAGAAAAATATATTCATATTTATTTTAAAAACAATAAATTGCATGAAAAAATAATGTATAATAACTTGATTCCTATTTTAGGTAATGTACTTACAAAACTTCTATTTTTGTACCTAAGATGTAAAGTTTTAAACATTTTAGCACCTGGGTAACCGGATAAAGACTAATTTTAGATTAAAAAAAAGACTAATTTTAGATTTAAAAAAATCAATGTCACTAACCACATCAACAAATAATACTGAGTTGGATACCACATCACTCGCTACATCAGCATGATAACCGGTTAATGTTTTAACCGGTTATCCGGGTACTTAAATGTTTAAAAATTTACATATTAGATATCAAAATGGAAGTTCTGAAAGTATATTACCCAAAATAGAAATCAAGTTAAATTACGATACTTTCTCATACAATTTGCTCATTTAAAAAATATGTTACTCTACAATAAAAAGATATATAAGGGGCTGTTTGTTTGGCTCTTAATGGTGACATTAAGAGCCAACATCTTAATCGGTAAGAGGTCAAGACTGTTTGACAAAAAAAAACAAGCTCTTAATGGTTACATTAACCTCTTAACCATTTTGCACCTAAAGCTTCACTATACCATTCAGATGTTTATTTTTCCAACTCTGCCCTCTCAAGCCGTTCTTCACATCGCATCCCCCCTCCATGGTTCCATTCACCATCTTCCCCCCCTCCATCGTCGGTTCCATTCGCCGTCTTCCTCCCTCCCATCGTCGGTCTTCCATTCGCCGTCTTCCCCCCTCCCATCGTCGGTCTTCCATTCGCCGTCTCCCCCCCACGATCGTCGCCGCCCCTACTGCTTCCCGCCGCTCTTTCCTCCCACGCGAGATCCTCGTTCCTCATCCCACTCGATCGTGTTCTCCAACGTCTTCTCCATCGTCTCCGTTGTCTTCTATATCGTCTCTCACTCGATTTCAGGTATTTCCCTTCTGTCTCCTTTTTCCTTCCCTCTGCAATCATAATGTCGATGAACTTAGGGCTGTTTGAATGAGGTAATCGATTTGATCATTGGTGGATTCAAGTTATGAGCTAATCATTTCGGTATTTGTTGAATCAAGCCATTTTGGTATCTGTTTATAAGTCATTTCCTTATTATGATGAATTGTGCTTGATATTTGGAAAGAGTAGAGGCAATGAGAAGAGGGTTAAAATGGTAATTTGTTGTCATTCAGAGAACATTTACCAAACAATCATATTTCATTCAGCACTTAACCATTCTGACCCTCTTAACCATTCTGACCACTTAACCATTCTGTACAAAACCATTCAGCAAGTGCCAAACAGCCCCTAAGATTAAGCAGCTATTTCATACATTAACGAAAGAACGTCTCAAGTAACCTTCTTTTGTCTGATCCCAAATCCATTACACATCTTCATCTCCTTTGGAAGTTGAAGGATTTCATGGTGAAAGCAAAAGTCACTGCAAATAGTAGACAGAAACCCACCACGGCAGTGGCGGCAACACCTAAGAACTCGTGGCGGTACCCAAACTCGTCTTCAAGAAACTGTCGTAACGGAACTGAATGGAAACCATCAGCAAGCTTTAAAAGATCATTCACGTCTCCATATTGCGATGTTAGAAGCCCATACAAACTCCAAGCTACGGGATTTGCCCAATAATACCATCTCCACCATATCGGAAGCCTCTGTCCAACAAAAAACATACCCGAAGGATTTAGAATTTTACACCACAGCAAAATCGGTTTTATAGGACACCAAATATATCTGAATGTCCTAATAACTTGTCTTATAGAACTAACCGTGTCCTATATCCAATGTAAAAGTGTTGCAATAAGTCGATAAGATGTTTTTGGGTATCCTAACAAGTATTTTAGAACTACTTTGAAATAAGCAACAGGTTCGTTAACAACTTGAAATTGATTAGAATTCAGAAACCGCCCACAGCGCGACAAGTGGCATATTCATCAAGAATTTGGACGTGGTATTCATCATGAATGTTGTAATATATACATCATGAATAACACGTCCATATTCACCATGAATGTGTTATTAATGATGAATATTCGTCTGAAGAGAGATACATCATGACGCGTTGTGGACGGTTCCCGGGTTCCTAATCAATTTTGCGTTCCTAACAGAACTTCCCTCACTGTCTTGTTAGTATTTTTATATGACCTTATTTGAAATAGCGTCTTATATAAGCAATTGTCCTATAAAAAGAACTGAGAGAACGAGAATTTACCATTCTAGCAACCATAAATCCGCTGAAAAGGTTCCACAACATATAAAACGGCGCAGCAACGATGGCAGCAATGTTATGGTTGGGTGTAACAGCAATTGTCATCATCCCGAAGAAGGTGAAATATAGCAAGGTGAAGTACATGAAGTATATGTACCAAAAGAGTTTCAATAGTCTCCATTCAAACGAAGCCAAAAGGTAGAAAATAACGCTGTAAACAAGCGACTGCACATACACGTACGGGAGCTCGATTGCGACCTGAAAAATACGTAATAATATCATGTTCATATGCTTTATGAGAACATTTTCTCAATAGTACAAACAATCAAGCAAACCGTACCTGTGCAAATGCAAACGGTAAGGCGGAATACATCCCCGCTGCTCTCTCTCGGTAGGAAACCGACCTTTCAACATACACCACTGGTTGGACAGAAGAGGCATTGGTGATCCCGATGAATAGAACGGCCGCATACATGGATCCCATTGCGTTAAAAATGTCCTGTTGAGTTTCCCTGTAAAAAGTAAAAAAGATGAAAACCAAGAATCAAAATCTAGATTTGAGTATATAAAAAAGTTAATAAGACATTCATTTTAGAAGTGTCTTTTAGGATGCCCAAATACGTCTGAACAGTCTATAAGACGGTCTCTTAGGACATTTAGACAGTTTTGGCGTTCTGTAAAGCCGATATTATTGTAGCTAGGCATTTTAGATTTTTGAATTATAGTCAAACACTTCAACTTAAATAACTGCCTAGAACGACGTTCATTTACTTTCGACGAAGGAGTAACACATTTGGACTTCAATGAAAACGATAAACGAGAATAAAATAAAATAGCCGAATCATAGGAAAATAAGAAACCTTTTAGCGCCAAATTTCCAGCACATTGTTCCGAACATCAATGATATGATGACCGTGTAGAAAAAGCGTACAGCGGTGTACTGTGGGTTCCGCCAGTACGACAAATTTTGCTTCCAAAGGCATGCCGAAAACTGGCCTAGGAATGACTGAGAATATTTGGTTGGGAAATACAAGAATTTTGAACTCCTATCTGGTTTGCTCAAGAGTTCAACTAGTTGTTGATTTTGCCTGAAAAAGATAAAATGCATAACAAGAATAAGTAGAACTTTGTTGAAATAGATCGATTGTAAAAAACGTATTCAAGCAAAGATTGACGTACGAATATAGATCCGACTGACGATAAACTTCAGCAAAATCTACTCCAAGGCGGGTTTCTTCTGTTGCTGAAGTAGCCTCCAGAATCCAAGCAGCAGGGTTGTATCCGGATCTGATCTTAGCAACACCTCTTACCGCCTATAAAGAATTCAACATGAAGCAATCATCATCACATTTTGTAAATTATATATATATATATATATATATATATATCGGTGAGAACAAAAGTTACAGTAAGAAGGGATATCCACCCTTGGATCAATCTTAATTGAATCTCAATCTTAATTGAATCTCAACACTAATGAGATGCACTGTATTAATTCCCGTATCAAGCGCAATTCATGGGCTGGTGTGAGATTAAAAGTGATCAAGGGTCCAGATCCCTTCTTATGCTTCTCACCTGAATTTCCGTTCTCACACGATCCTTTGTTTTATATTATATATATATACTGTTATAAACAACACCCCCCCCCCCCTTATGAAAATGTCACTACAACACAATCAACTTTATAGGACATCAAAGACAAATTGTTCCATAGGACTGATAATTATATGCCTACATAAAGATGTTACAATAGGATGTTAGTTAGGACGTATTTGAGCATTCCAACAAATTTTCTGGGACACCTATTAGTTTTTTTATAGGACACTTATGAAAAGTCTCTTTTATAGGACACTTGTTTTTATAAAACACTTTTCAAATAAATTAGAATGTTTTATTTCAAAATTGTCTTTAGAAACTTATTACGATGCCCACAAGCGTCTACTTATTAACTTATTGTAACATCTTTACAAGGCCGCACAATTATTCCTATAAAACTTAGGACTTGTAAAGCATAGGACATTTAGACATATTTGGCATCCTCTAAAGCCAGATTTGTTGTAGTGTTGTAGATGTCTACTATCTGTAAACCATATAAGTACACCATGACTAGATGAACATAAAATATCATGAAGAAATACCAACCTCAAAAAACCGAATAACTTTGTGAGATCCGGTGCCTAAAGGACCAGCATAAATGAGCTTTCCTCCGCGTTTCATGAGTAACAACTATAAGAACAGATTATCGTAACTTGTCAACTACAAAGAATTTGGCACAACGTAGAACAAAGCAAACACTTTCCATTCACAATTTATGGCCGTCTTAAATAAAGTTGCATAGTGATAGCGAAGAAAGTTTGATAGAGAAAGAGTACCTCATCAAACGATTCAAAAATATCAATGCTCGGCTGATGGATAGTGCAAACAATTGTGCGTCCAGTATTGACGATATTTCTGACAGTTCTCATAACAATGGCGGCAGACCTCGCATCTAGTCCCGAAGTAGGCTCATCCATAAATACGATAGAAGGATTTGCGACTAGCTCAACTGCAATCGTTAGTCTTTTTCGTTGCTCGGTTGATAGCCCGTCAATTCCCGGTAGACCAACTAACGATCCCTTGAGTGGATCGAGTTCAACAAGTTCCATAACCTCGGCTACGAAGTCCTGTAATCAGAATATTCAAATTAAACAGCTGATCAAACGGGAAATTCCCAGATTTTCTAAGAAAACAACAATAGTGTAATGAGTGCTTACCCTTTTCGTTTCTACGTTAATATGAGAAGGTAATCGAAGCCAAGCCGAAAACATTAGTGATTCGTGGACGGTCAAGCATGGGGAGTGAATGTCATTCTGCTCACAGTAACCCGAAATCCTGGCGAACGTTTCTTGGTTTTTGGGGTACCCTGAAACATATATATGCCCGGAGATATGGCCGCCGGTTTTTCTACCAGCTAAAACATCCATAAGAGTAGTTTTACCGGCACCACTGACACCGACCAATGCAGTAAGCACACCTGGCCTAAAAGCTCCAGTTACATCGACCAACAATTGCAATTTGTTGTTCGATAGACCTTCTTGCCTCAATTCCTAGAGAAAGATAAATGTGAAAATGATGGAACTGAAAAAAACATTACCCAGGAAAATACTAAAGCAACATTTACGGATATACCCCTGGGATGTCCACGTAATAACTGATGTTGCAGAAAGACATGGTAAGAGGCTGAAACGGAAGAACCATTCCTCTTTGGTTTTCGACATCAGTACCGGCATATGAAGGTGAGCACTGTAGGTAATGTTTCAGCTCAACGATTGCAGAAACAATCCCATTTGTTTTCTGCAACTTGGTATTTTCCCGAAGGATAGCTGTTTGATGATTTCCAAGAGCTGTATAGAACAAACGTAAAATAATATTAAATGAGCCTACATAGGCATCAAGGGAGTTTCTGATGGTTATATTTGAAAGATTACGTTAATGCTGATTAAAATTACACAAATCCAGCAAGAGTGGAACTTACGGTTGAGATATGTAAGGAATAAAGTAAAGAGAATGTTGAACAGAATCGTGTAACCGAGCAAAGCACCAACTCCTATCCAGTACCAATAATCCTCGGGAAACAAGCTTCGGACTTTCAGTAACATCGTCCCCAAAGGGATGTTGGTATTGTTTCCAGCTGCCTGCGCGTCATATAAAAACAAGTTAGGATTACCGGAAATACAAATGGAAGAGGAAGTTCATTTAGGAACCGTTAATATTTTGAGAACTGTGAGAACCAACTATTCATGAATATTATTCATTATGAATATCATGCATTTTCATTATGTTCAAGATTTCATTGTGAATAATTGATTCTCACGGTTCTTAAATGAACCTGCCCCTACAAATAAATTAGAGGCAGAATTATAATACTACCTTATCCCACGTGTCCCCCAAAAATTCATTGACGGAAACTGCATTTTGAGCGTACATCAAAGGGGAAACCCAGTAACCCCAGATCCACCAAGCAGGGATGCTATCTACATTCATATCGTAAATCTGATTTAGAGGGAGGTTCATGAGAAAACCCCCAAAAAATAAAAAACTAAGGGAATACCCTAGTAACCATTCATTTGGACGGTATGTACATGTGCATACAAGTAATTGAAGTTGTTTTTTGGTTTTTATCAAGGTTCTAAATGGCGTGAGGCGCGGTGTGGCACCGAGATCAAGCCTCAAGCTTTAGAAGCCAAGGCGTGACTTATGGCGTCAAATCTTTGTATCATATAAATTATTATACATATAAATATATACTCTACTATTACCCAATGAGTCAATGATACTAAATAATTTAAATTAGGTTATACATCCGAAACTAACAAATAAAACATTAAACGAAGTAAGAGAAATCATATATTGCATAACAAAACCGCGCATTAGGTCATGATATGCCACAGGCTTAACGTGGCGTGAGACATAAGCCTTAAGCCATGGCGGCTATCGCGGCGAGCTTTTTTGAACATTGGTTTTTATGCATGTGTGCATAACATTACCGAACAAATTGCTTACAAACACCTATGCATACCGTCCTATGAACGGTTACCATGGCGTTCCTCAAATTTTCATATTTTTGCGGTTTTCCCCCTGAACCTGACCCTAGTTTCAACATGTAACAAGCTCAGCAAGTTAGATATTGAAATGGGCAAAATTTCAAGTTATACCTCTAGAAAGTATGAATCCTCCAAGTGCCATGACGACCAACATTGCAAAAGATCCAAAAGTGTTGGCAACGATCATATTTCTTCCTAATGATGCCATCACACGGAAAAGACCGATTGACATCTGGTGCAACGAGAAGTACAACACGAACTGTTTCAAACATCTGCAGATACACACCCAAAAAGATTCTTACATAATAGAAGTAAATAAAATGTACGCCTATTCACCTAATGAAATGTGAGAAAATGAACCTAGAAAGTTGTGGATCGAAGCCAACAAGATAGTATGTGACTGCCACCCAAACACCAGATTCTATAATTGATGACGGAATACTTAAAATCCATGAAGGAAGGGTGTAAACCCAACATGGATAGAAGTGCATATCTCTATGCTCATAGATTACAGGAAGCTTGGCTATCAACATCGGGACCTCCATAAATCCATTGAACAAAATCATCACGATCGAAAAGTAGAGTGCACCAAGATAAACTCCACCGTCATCGAGCGAATTATGATGCATAGTGGTACGAAAAAATACGCTCGTCATGATTAAGACAACCAACATAAGCTGCAAAAAACAATAACGTTTTTTTATTTTTATCCAAAAGTCACGTATTCATTGGAAGATGCGGGGTTAGGAAATACCTGAAAGAATCTGAAGGCGTAAACAAATGCTTCGCGTTTTAGTAGTAACATCTGCCATGAAAAACTAATTTTGAGTAGCTCCATTCTCTTTACACCATAGGTGCTGGTAGATAGGGCTGCGGGAGGATTTAGACGTCTATCATAAGGAACCGCCAGCTGGCGTGACAAAGAACTGCCAAGGAAATTCGATTGAAATGCTTCTACAAACTTTTCAATGGAAACATATTCGTAATGCTCATCAAGAGACCAATACTGTTCTTGATCTTTTACTGATGTAACCTGTAGAAAATCATGTTTGAAAAGAGGCGAATGATATGATAAGATAGTGATTTGAGAAAAGCGAGTGATGGGCGTACTTCTTGCAGAAAATCCGCCACGTTTTTCCTGTTCGGGCACTGAAAACCCATAGAAGCAAAGAAAGGCACAGCAGCATTACGGGGTCCTTGGTATACAATTTGACCTTCGCATAATAGAATCAAGTCATCAAACAACTCGAATGTCTCAGGATCCGGTTGCAGCAAAGAGATGACGGTCGTGCAATCAAGAGCACGAGTTGCGTACTTAAGATACTTAATGATTTGATAGGTGGTTGAACTATCGAGCCCAGTTGATATTTCATCCATAAAAAGAACCCTTGACGGCCCTACCAGAAGTTCTCCTGTTTAAATTTATCATCGCCACTTTGGTTGAATAGACAAAAAAATAATCATATATATAGAGAGAGGGGTAGGGGTTCAGGAAAAACCCCAAAAAATGAAAAAATGAGGAACACTCTGGTAACCATTTCATTTGCATAGTATACACATGTGCATACAAGTAACTGAAGCTGCTTTTTGATTTTTATGCACGTGTGTATGTTATGCACATGGGCATAAATTGCTTAAAAAATTACTTGTATGCACATGTGCATACCATCCAGATGAACAGCTACCAGGCGTTCCTCGGTTTTTCATTTTTTCACGGTTTTCCCCTAAACCTGACCCTAAGTGTGTGTGTGTGAAACTTAAACGAAAAAGGTATATAAATGCTTACTTACCTGAAGTCAGCCGCTTCATTTGACCTCCAGATATCCCTTTACGCATTTCATCTCCTACTAGCGTATCCGCACATATATCCAATCCTAAAATCTTTGAACACATGTCAGAATTCCACAAAATACTCTGCAATTACAACACTTGTTTTCACTAGTCAGGATTTTGTAACAACTCGTCCCACGTGGATAGAAAATGGGATTTGTGAGCTTCTTATAAGCCTCAAGTTGGGGGCTACCAATAACTTCCACCATGTTTTTAAGTTGGTTTTGAAGTTATTGGGGCAGCCTGTTGCTTTGGGGTGTTACAGATTTGATCGTTGAATAAATAACAAATTTGAAACCATCCCATATCCTACCTTCATAAGGTATTCAACGACAAGACTCGTCTTATTTTCTCCAAGTGCCACTGTCTAAAGAAAATTTATAAACTTTGTTATAGATACATTTACAGTCTTGGAGAAAAAGAAGTAAAAGACTTCAACTAGCAGCATGCACCTTTATAAATATATCAAGATCTTCATCTGGTCTAATTCCAGCGTTCTTTTCTCTTCTTAAAAGTTCCATAATCATATCTGTATCAAATTTTCATAATACCCATATCAGTGTTTTTGTAGAACAGGGATGTTGAAATAGAATATACTTCAACAGAATCCAAATGATCACCTTGAGTTTACCTTGCTTATAACCAAAACCTTGACAATGTTCTGCAAATTGAAGAGTCTCTCTAACTGTCATCTCAGCCATATGACAGTCCTGCTGGCTGACATATGCCGAAGTTCTTTGAGGCACAAACTCATTTAGTTCATGTCCGTTATACGTGATTCTCCCAGATAACTTCACAAAATACATCGATTGTCATTGTGGAGAATCGACCATAAACAAACTTGAAATCAAAAGTTCTCTCTCAACATCAACTAACAATAATTCTAATTTCTTTTGATACTTTAAATTTTGTGAGTTCCTTTAAATCTTTTCAGGTTTCATATTATCAATAATTGCAAAAGACTGCTTAAGGGTTTTAGCTAGTGCATCCTTATGTATTGAATCTAGTATGATATCAACAGGATCTTGATTATCTTGAATTCTTGTTTTTTGGAAATGGATGATCCCAGTCGTGACTGTAGGCTTCGCCTGCAGCATTAACGTAAATCTCGTAGTGGCCTCATAGATGGCGGGATTCAAACCCGGGTTGATTTTATCATCCCCTTGTCTTTATCCACCACACTACTCCAACCTCCTCCCCCTTGTGGTTAAGAATTCTTTATTTTGCCAACGCAAGAAAATTTCATCCGAGTAGATGCCCAATGTGGATCACATTTTCTATTCGAAGTCCCACAATTCACTTTCATCTAAATGCTAATTTCATGAGTGTAGCCAAAAAATAATTCTTCACAAATTAAACAAATTCTGGATACCTCCAACCCGTGTCCAAGACGTCCAGCAAGAGCCAACAGCAGCGTTGTTTTCCCCGAGCTTGGAGGACCCAAAAGGAGAGTTAATCTGCAAGATAACGTCACATTAACATTGAGCAATTATGTGAAATATTCAAGTTAATTCTCGTAACAAATGTTTACCTAGAAGGCCTAATAATACCACTAACGTCATTCAAAATACTTGATTTCTTTCTTCCGCCAGGAAAAATCCTCAACGCCCTCAAGAAAGCCTTGCAAAGGTGTAACACGAAAAAATATCAGAAAGTAACACTAGATAAGCAAAACATTATATTTAAAATATATTTATTCCTTCAAAACCCACCTCACTCATGTTATATACAGAATTCGGCAAGGTGGGTAATGCTCTGCTCCCAACATGTACGAATGCATCTATCTCCAGGTTTTCAAATCGAACTTCCACTTTTGGAAATTTCAGATCAACACTAGGAAAACGACAATTCTCAGCAAATATTGTCTTGAACAGTAATTAGATATAGATGAAATTAATCATGCATAAGCAGTACAAGGACACAAATTAACTAGTAGTAAAAGAAGTTACAAATAACATGTGTAGTCTATGACAGATGTTGGTATAACAAATACTTGCTAGACAGAAAACCAAGAAAAATGAATACTTGTAACATCAAGTTCGCGCATATCATGTACCCTTTACAATGAACCAGTTTATGCTAAAACTGGGTTGTATCAAAAATGGCCAATTCTTTTGATGATTAGTTATCCATCCATAAGAGCATTTTCAAGAGTTTTACAGTCATATGTGCTGGTTCTTCTTCTTCCAACCACAACTAGAATCAATCAACAAATGCTCTAAAGATTCTGAATTTTAGCTAAGAGAAATGGGATACCTATTTTTTTACACAATTACCAGATACTAACCCTTCTAATTTCTTTTTCTTGCAAAATTACAAAAATAGAGAAGACCCACCACAAAATGGCCAACCATTTCTAAACTAGCCACTACTTTTGCAAAAGATTATTCGCAAAACCCCTATTTTTACGCAGTTACCAGATATTAGCCCTTCTAATTTCCTTTCTTGCAGAATTACAAAAATAGCCAAATTCAGAGAAGACCCATCACAAAATGACCAACTTTTTCCAAAAAATTATTAGCAAAACCCCTACTTTTACACAATTACCAGATACTAGCCCTTCTAATTTCCTTTCTTGCAAAATTATAAAATCAAAATTAGCCAAACTCCTAGAAGACCCGCCATAAAATGGCCAACTTTTTCCAAAATAGCCTCCACTTTCGCAAAACCCCACTTTTTGCGAACAGTATTTTTTGTTACTTTTATTTTTCTAGTTTTTTGGATTTTTTTGCAAAGCAAGAAAGTGGGGGGTATTATGTGCTAATTTGAAAAATGTGAGCTATTTTGTGATTATCCATCTCGTTTTTACAGAGCTAGTAGCTTTAACTTCTTATAGTTCATAACTATACACATACATATATATGAGGAAGGAGTTCTTCTGCCTTTAATGGGAATAAGATAAAACAGAACAATGAAAATGATGCTAAAAAGAATCAACTAAACAGCAAAACAGTAATTGTTAATCAAATCTTACTTATCAAACCGCCGTCGAATCCTATCAAAAAACAGCCCCGGGTTCGAATTCACTGTATTCACCAACTTATCCAACACTATCTTCTTCTCTTCAGCATCAAGCTTACTAACATCAACAAGAGCAAACTCACCCCCAAAATTCCTAAAAACTGAAGTTCTAGCCCTAACAAACGTGGGCGATCGCTGTAATGCAGCCAATTGGAGCGCTTCATCGCCATTATCCTGCGTCCTCACAAAGAGGTTTCCAAGAGAATCCCACATTGTAATGAGGAAGTACCGATTGAACAAACCCTACCGAAACGGTTGAGAATTGTTGGGGTTTTAAGGAATAGGGTTTCGGAAAGTTTCCCATTTTCTCAACAGCTTTTGGAGGGTTGAAAAGAGAAGGGTGGGTTGTTGAAGCAAGAAGCTTCTGTGTACTAATTGGATATGTTTTTCTCCATTTAGAGCAGAATTGAAGAAGAAGATAGAGGAAATGTAGGATAGGTAGGGGGTTTTAGGTTTGGTTTGGTGAGGATTTGGGGAAGAATGTGAGAGGGTTGTTTCTTTGGAGTTGTTAAAAGCAGTTGAGAAAATCAAGTTTCCCTCCTCATTTGGGTATTCATTGGCTCATTTCTGGGAGTAATCTTATCAGTAAATGACATCTCCAATGCAAGTTTTTTTGTTACCAAAAAATTGTAAAGAGTTATCATAAAAACCTCACTTTTGGAGTTCTTATCGGTAAGTAAATAATAGTGTTAAATTTTATTGGTGAACACTTACCGGATAAATATTTGGTAAACGACCGTACAATTTTTGATTTTATTTTTACTAAGAACCCGTTTTCCGACCAATAATCAAGTGGTGTAATTGATTTGCCCTTGTTGAAAGTTGTATAAAACAAAAGCGACCAAGTTCCAGTAACATTTTGAACTTTTACTTGAAAAAATAGATTATAAGAAGGCCAAAAACTCGAGCCGAAGACCAGGCCAAACCTTAAAACCCGATCAGGACACGCTTTTTTCAAGGCCCAGTTAAAATTCAATTCAGAAAAGCTCAGTTTATTGTCCCAAACGTTGTATCATCTTACGCCGAAGCTCATAAAATCTCGATTCTCAAGTTCTCTCAAGTTGGGCGTAACATATAAGCTCGCATCGACTTGGTGTGGTAAAATAACAAACGTAGCCTCACAAACATAATACCGGTGTACGTTACATGCACCTATTTTCTTCAAAGTGGCAACAAATTAAGGGAGTTAAAACGCGAAAAGTCAACATGGGTAAATGCTACAAAACTAGGAAAATACATACTTGTGGTAACATCAACTCTTGAAAATAAGAAAGAAACCAACATAAAAAGTAGAACAAAAAAACGGATTAAAAACAAAATCATACAAGTTGTGATTGATGCATCATCAATCATGCGAATGGCAAAACACGGTTGAATATCGAGTATCGTTTTAATGCATGTCGTCTGCCACTTGTGAACTCCGTATGCCCCAAAACGATCGAGGCTTCAGTTTCTTGTTTGTCGAAGTGAAAAGCCATCCCATTTGATATTCACAAGTTGCACAATACGCTATTGTCCATGCATATCTGCCAAAAATAAAACAAAGCTCACAAAGGCTTCCTCGAGCTATTTAGAAGAATAACCTTCTAACGACTTTCTTTAAATGCATGACCTTTTGACAGATTTTATTTTCCTAAAAGAAGTTAATGGCATACCCGGGAAACCAGCTATACTCTTCGGTCGGAATCCCAATAAGTGCCAATCCGCTTGCTTTAAGGAGTGTCATTATTTCGTGCACATAGCCACTCGGATTCACATAAGCGCCGAGAGGCCCGTCAGTAGACATCACCAACATATCACTACGGCTCGCAATCACGGTCTACAAGGAGAAAATAGTTCACTATCATCACAGTTTTACCCAATTTTGATGTGACAATAACCTCTATAATGGAAGTTCAAAATCCAATTGGAGACGCGTCTTAACTTCATATATGCTCATTGATCATGTATATTATATATAAAAATATATACACGGACAAGTTCAAATAAAAAAGCTAAATATTGGTGGAAGAGATGGTTCATATCTGAATCAGAAAAAAAAAAACTATCTGAAGATGCATATGTAAACGGACGTTACAGATTATTCATGTCGGCTCATATATGCATCTTCAAATGGATTTTTTCAATGATTCACATATGAACCTTCTTCTCTTCTTACCTTCTCACTCACATTATTTAGTCTTCTTATTTGAACCCCCACTACTGCACTACACACACATGAATACAATCAAAGTGTATTACCTGACAACTTCTACATTTGATCCGGTCAAAATTCTCGAGCAACTCAATTTCGCGCCGTAACCGATAAGAAATTCCATCTATCTCCAAAAGCTCCTGTCTTGTTGATTCAGACACAGGAATCTTACTTGCAACATGAAAAGAAAGAAGACCTGGTTTCCTCACAAGTGCATCCATGCTAGGTGTCCCTACTATCTTTTTCCACATATCTGCAAAATTCTTTCAGAAGGGTAACAAATTGAGATAAAAGTACCTGTAAAATAGAACATGGAAAACAAAGTTAAAGTGTACCTGATAATCGTTGAGCAAGACAATACGAGTCGTACATCTGATAAGCCCAATAGGGCCAATAAGCTCGTGGACATTCCCTTAATCGGTGTATGGAGTGATTTCTCCGTTTTGCCCCTCTGAAAGGCATATCAGACAGACGCTTCATCTCATGCCCCTTTAAGCCATCATCATGACTTCTGTTCTTGACGGAATGTAATGACTGAAGTGAGTTTTCCAATTGAAGCTCTGGTTCACACATCAGCCTGTCATCATCGCTACTTGTTGACTCACCTAACAAATCATGAGGATAAGAAGAAACGAGTGCAGAACTATGCAATCTGCGTTCAGTTAACGATAGTTTGCTCTCGAAACTATCATCTGATGATGCATCTGAATCATGGTCCTGATTCCCGCGAACTAGTAGCTTAGAATGAGAAGCATTGGCTGCAGACAAGTTCCTTAATGGTGCGAGTTGTCCAACGGCATCTCGTGGAGTCCTTAAAGGCAAGTCTTCTTCGATGATTTGGATCTCACCACATGGCTAGAAAAAGAGCATTTTATTAGGACTATTCAGACAAGGTATTAATTTCTTGATTGTTGGTATTATCAGTAAGAACATACTGCTCCTCCAAGTTCAATCCACCGTCGTCTTAATCGAAACCGTTGCTGGCCACGAGTAACTACATTTATCGAACCATCCTCCAATCGCCGATACTGCCGAATCTGAAACCAAAGAAAAGATACTTCAGATCATATTGCAATCAAGTTATTCAGAAGACCATTAATAATATCAAGATTCAAGTCTAGAATTCAAGATACAGATGAATAATAAAGAAGCTATAAATTAGGCCTACACCTCAGCCGTAGTCCCGGTAGTTGCAAATCTTATTGTCCCATTGTCACCATCCCTATAAACACGAACCTAGATAATATTTAGAGCATCATGTCGACATAATCGCAATAAAAACCATCAATAAATTCACAAAATAGCTTAGAAAACATTCATTATATCAAGATATTCGCATACCACCCCTATGGTGTGAGGAGCCTCTGCTTGTCTCAGTGCCCTGTCCACAGCAGCTATAAAATTTGGTTGAATTACTCTCAGTGGAAGAGTCGCCTCTGGAAACAAAACTACACCTGATATTGCAAATGCGCCATTAATCACAAATTGCAAATAAAGAAAATGTCTACTGTTCACGATGACCAAAAAAGACATAGGGCAGCAATACAGAACCAAAATGCCTAAATAATTGTGAAAAATTCCACCATAAAATAGCAGGTAAACTGCTGCAATTAGACATGGCAGACAAACACATTTGAAGCATACCTTCAAGATAAAATAGCGGTACATGTAATATGACACCACCATCCAAGAAAGCCAGCCTATTATGAGTATCTTCAACCTCTGATACATTTTACGCAACTAGTTAGACCCCTTTCGTATAAAGAGTCATAATGAAAACCATTGAGATGCTTACCACCAAGATAAGAATGCAAAGAAGCCAAAGAAGTATTGAAAGTATAACCACCAGATCCAGAAGCCGAACCATATGCACGGTCACTGGGATCAAGAATAAACAACAAAAACATAATAAATGAGTTTTTTTCCCCTTAAAAAGGTGCAAGCCACTACAAACCATTGTTCACGTAATAGTTAAGGATTCAAATTATGTCATGGAACAGTTGAAGATGTCACGTTTGAATTAGTTCAGAAGAAAAGGTTGAGTAAATATGTGTAGAACACTAAACTTTGAATGACACACATTAGATTATCCAAATATAATGATCACGAGAAGAAATTCATCAAAAAAGAAATTGAAATGGTTGGTGTTGGTCTTTCTATCAAACACATAAGTCTAGAACTAACAAAATGGGACACAAATATTGCAAAAGAGCTAGAAACCCCAAAAGCATCACTAAATTTGCTGTAAGCCGAAAACCAAATGGCCCATTTGATTCCACACAAAGTGCATGTCATGCAAACCAAGTAATACAATAGAACGAGATGGAACCATGAAAATCATTGAGAGAGAATCAAGTAGGTTTGTCATATACTAACAGGAGAGAGGGAACTAGGTATGTTAGAGAAGGGTGTAAATACGAAGTGGTAATAGAAAGCAAACATATGATTCTTTTTTCTCTATTACTTCCTTCTTATCTTCATCAATTTAACCACACTTGGTGAAAAAAAAAGCATAAGTTCACTTGTACGTCTGTTATTAATTCCCTTAACGGCTTTGCGAGTCGAGTGATATATTTCCCTTCATGCTTGAATGCTAAAAAGACAATAGGCCACTAACACTTCTATAGCCCAATATTCTACAAATTATTTGCGATGCTGAGTTGTACCCGCCACAATTCATCAGGATACTTGATAACCTTATAAAACTAGTGTATTTTGCCCTATTCCCCCTCCCATTCTTCCACATAGCACCTTGTAATATGTTTTCATTTACTTCACAACTGCACATACTCTTGATTTAATCACTATATAGGGGAGAATTTTCATACACCATCCTTGATCAACCAAATAAACTATAGTCTCTATACACACATGGCATGCAGTATAGTAAAATTGATGCATCAACAAGCTCATTCCCACTCTTTTTATGAGCTAATTATACTATAGGCACTAGCAATTGTAACAGGGTTCCATAAGAAACAACACTCATCAACTAGTCAACTTCAAGAAAAAGCAATGTAACACACCAAATTCGGATGCTTGGCAGCATCCTGATATGTTTAGAATCATCAACATGTCATATATATGGTAATATAGATCCAAATATGTGCCTGTATAGTCAACATAGATAGTATACTGCCCAACGCTTCCATCTACAAAGAAGAAGTAAGAAGTCTCTTCTTATAATCTTATGATTCCCCATATTTGGCTGCACTTAGGTTAACCAACGGGAGATGTAGAGCCTCAAGTCTCAACACCCACCGATGATAAAGACTAATGGAGAACTTAAAGAGCTTATGTTTGATAAGTTAAACTTAGACTGTGGCCATGGGATTGGTGGAAAGGCATCTTTTTGTTACAATTTAAATCCTACCAAATCTTGGTAATCCATCTTAAAAGTCAAAACCATAGTATCTGTATAAAGCTAGTATTGAATCTTTAGAAAAAACCAATTTCATGAAAAACTTAGATAAAAATTTACGTATCCCACCAATTGTTCATTTCTTTCTATGTTTCTTTCTTTCTCATTTTCCATCTTTACTTTAGTAATTACGGTTTTAATAACTAATACATGTTAGAGAGATGCTTGTATCCATGTATTCTGTCTTTTTACACTACATCTAATCTTGTCCTAAACAAGACTCCGCATCTAGACCCTTTGGATACCCTGCCTCTAGCACTTCAATTTTTTGTCACCCTTAACCCCGAACCAATACCGTAACCGACCTTCATCGACTACATTTCACATTAAAAAAAATTGGGTAAAGAAACCCTAAACCCTAATTTCAAACAAATTACATATCAAATGCAATGCAAATTATTCAGAAATGGAACTGAGGAAAACAAAAACGTGTGATCCAATGATATCAGAAAATGAAAAGGGCATAATAATCAATAGGAAGTGAAATTACTCGTATGGATCGTCATCAGATGATTGGTGGCCATGTTCAACCTCTTCGATCTCCAATTCCTCCGAATCAAGCTGCCTTATTTGTTCGATTTGATACAGTTCTCTGTCTAGAAGCCTCTGTCGATGATCCTCGTCCATTTCGTTCACTCTTCCTACACGTATTATCCAGCATCACTCCATATATATACGATACCCCCGCCAAAATACAAAATAAATTCCTCCAGAAAATGCTACAAAAGGTTTCTCACAAGGGTCGGTTTGTGCCCGATTCTGCCACGTCATAATATAAATACTTTGTATATATTTATTTAATTTTGATTTATTATATTTTCGGTTTTTAACTTAAATTTCTATGTTCAAATATTTTTATTAAATTAAATATAAATTTTTTATTCACATTTTATATATAGAATAGGATTATCCGATTATATACACAGTTTTAGTTCATGCTTGGTCCAAATTTATCTCAAATCTAATAAATTAATATCATCAATTATTTTAACTTATTACATGAAAAAAATGATTTACTAAGAGTGAATTACATTGGTGGTTTTTATGGTTTACTCAAATTTTGAATTTAGGGATTGTTTACTAACTGCTGACCAGACTGACTTGGTCAGTACTCAGCACGTTTACCAAATCACTGATATGACTGAAAACTATCGAAATATTACCGAGCCAGCACCAAATTGATGTCTACGCGTCAGTTTCTCTGTTTCCCTCGTTCCTTTCATTTGGCGAAAAGCTTCCCCCTTCTCCTTTTCTTTACCTATCTGTTCCATCTCCTTTTCATTTTGCGAATTTTTATAGATCATTGATGATTTTGACCTGGCATAATGAACACCCATCCTATCCTGTCTCCTCTCATCCCTCCATCGTCCCTTGAACTAGACACTCATTTGCTCTGAGAGTTTCTCACGTGATATCTGAAAATCCACCAAAAAAAGCATCTCTCATGTGATGTATGAGATCTACCTAGTGGTGGATAGTGTTTAAGTCTGCTGAAAAGGTTGATAAAGTTGATTCTGGTAAAATAAAAATATTCAATCACCTAAGTTGTTTACATTTTATTTTTGGTAAAATGTCTTGTAATGGTCAAAGACTCAAAGATATCTACTTCATTGCCATCCTCAATTCCATATGACAAGCCTGTCTCCATCAAAGGAAATGTGTTCGTTTTTGTTGTCAATAATTGATTAAGCTCTTGAAGAGCATGTCGATATCATATGCCTCTTTCAAATGTCTACTATTTTCTGTTGTGTTAGCATCAGAATCGCAAAAATAATTGCAAATGGGGTTATAATGGTTATTTTTATTGTTGGTAAGGACTTACCAACAACATTTGGAAAACACTCTTACCCGAATAATTTATCAGTCCTTAGACAAACTATAGGGACCAAAAACAAATTATCTATATTGATGATCCTTGACTTTTCAAATTTTATAACACTCAAGATCTTCGTAGTTAACACCCTCAGTTAACAAACCGTTAGAAAAGACAAATCAGTCCTTAGACAAACTATAGGAACCAAAAATGTAATTCCCTCTAAAATTAGTTTTGACTCTCATTTTCGTTAAAGAATCTCTTTATTAAAAATACCAATTTAATTGTTCTAATTTATTCATAATTATTTTATAATTCTGTTTAATTATATATATAATATTCTAACTTTTAAAACATCTTTTAATAAAAAATATTTATCCTAATAAATAAATTTTGATATATATATTTATCTTATGGTGATTTTATTTGAAATATTTTTAGTAAAGAAATTTTTTAAACAAAGATGTAAATCAAAATTAATTTTATAGTGAATTACAGTTTTAGTCCCTGCAGTTTACCTAAAGACTGGTTTGTCTCTCCTAACAATTTTAACTGACATTGTTAACTTTGAGAACCTTAAATGTTATTAAAGTGAAAAGATTAAGGATCGTTAATGTAAATGGTTTGTTTTAGAGAATAAATCCAAAATTTAAGCAAAATTAAATTGGATATAAGATTTTTCAAATCACAAGTATTTAATTGGGTTTATTTTGACTAAAACAAAATGCCTCTTCACGTAGTGAAACAAATTTCAAGCCATCCATTTAGTAACATAATCATACAATTTTAACACCATGTAATAAAAAGAAAACAAATTTAAGGGGCCGTTTACTTAAATGTTTACCTTTATGAGTCAACATTGTAATTTATTTTACTGGTTAAGATTGTAGTACATCAAGATAGTATATTATGCAACAATTTACCCGGTAAGTGTTTACCCGGGTAAGAGTCGTCATTCTCACTTACCGAGTAAGACTCTTCATCTTTATCATTGCTCTTACCGGACAAGATTTTTGACCTTTGTCATGTTTATCCGGTAAAGAAAATTACCCAGTAAACACTTACAGGATAACCATTTAATAAACGGCCCCTAAAATCTCATTTAAATGAATTATTTGGTTAAAAAATGAGTCTAATTGAAGTTAACGATGGAGTTTTGTTGCATCCGGACAGCCGTCCTGACCACAATTGTTATTCTATGAAATTTAAGTTTCTATAATTAGATTCCTCCAAAGCTATATATTTAAAAAAGACGGTATAAATAATTTTATTAAACACGCAGCAGAAAAGACGATCACTCCAACAACTATTCTATAATATTATACAGAGACAATGTTTCAAAATGAAACTCATTACATTTATACAAATAATGTAATCCAATTAATTGAGATATTTATAGAAATAATAAAAATTCATTTATTATGATTTAAATATTTATGGAAGATGAGTAGGGTTATTAATTATGATCAATATTTTATATTAGAAAACAAACAAATTTTTTATAAAATCACATATTCATCAAATTAAATGAACGGTTGAGATGAAGTTGTATTGATTGTACAAATATATATATATATATATATATATGTGTGTGTGTGTGTGTATGTATGTATGTATATATATAGGGTATATTTCTTTTACAACCTTGTGCATTTGTACAACCTTTGCAACCCAATTAATTGAGATATTTATAGAAATGATTGGAGTTCATTTATTATGATTTGAATATTTATGGAATATGAATAGAGTTTATTAATTATGATTAATACTTTATATTAGGAAACAATTAATTTTAATTGATTAAAAATTGAATGGTTGAGATGAGGGTTGTATAGGGTGTAGGAATGGCAAAGGGTGTAGAATAACATCCCTATATATATATATATATATATATATAGACACACACTACATAGGTTACTCCATCTGATTCTCTCTCTCTCAAACAAGACGGAGAAACGGAGAAGAAGTCGTCAATGGCGAAATGGGAAGGTAAGGTTTCAGCAACTCTAACAAAAGCAAGTGCTGATCAAATATGGCCTTTGTTTAAAGACTTCTTCAACTTCCACAAATGGTTTCCCAACATGTCCATTTGTTATGGGGTCCATGGCGTAAATGGCGAGGTTGGTGGTGTACGTTACTGTTCCGGTTTCTCCCTTCCAAATCAAGACGGTGGTGTTGATAACGTTAGCTGGTCCAAGGAGCGGCTAGTAGCCGTTGATTCGAAGCAGATGTCGATGAGCTACGAGATGGTCGACTGCAACGTTGGATTCAAGTCGTATCTTTCCACAATTAAAGTGGTTCCTAGTGGTGGTGCCAAGGGGTGCGTGGTCGAGTGGTTGTTTGCCGTTGATCCAGTCGAAGGGTTAACGTACGAGGTTTTGTATCAAAAGTATCAAGATGGTCTCGATCAAACTACAAAGAAAATGGAGGATGGTCTAGTTCAGTAAGGTTCGATTAAATCCGAAAAATGAAATAAATGTGTTCAGTTAATCACCCCTTTATATTAGCAGGACGATCTCTATTGTGCTACGTTAATTATGTGTTAATTTCAGCGCGTTTGGTTGGAGGGATTTGGAGGGATTTGGATTTGAAATCCATTCTCATTCCTATTTGGTTTGCTAACAGATCAGGATTTCAAATCCCGTGTTGAACTTAAAATCCGGTAAACAAGGGATTTTGAAATCCATAGTAAATGGGCTGGATTTCAAATCCGGGCGACATCTCTTCTTCGACTTCTTCGACTCTTTCAATCTTCATGCCCCCATCTCCATATCCAGAACTCTCGTTTCAATCTTCATGCCCTTCGTCGCCGTTCGTCGCCGTTCGTCTCCCTCTCCCTTCGTCGTCGTTCGTCGCCCTCTCCCTTCGTCGCCGTTCGTCTCCCTCTCCCTTCGTCGTCGTTCGTCGCCCTCTCCCTTCGTCGCCGTTCGTCTCCCTCTCCCTTCGTCGTCTCCGTCGCCCACTGCCTTCTCCCATCACTCAACAGGTAAATCCTTTTTCCCCTAATCTGCTTCCTACAGATTAGGTTAAATATACAGATTAGGTTCAATATACAGATTAGGTTGAGGGATTAGGTTGAATATACAGATTAGGTTCGATAATTTTGCTGTAGTTCTCGATAATTTTGCTGTAGTTCTCGATAATTGTCAATTGAGTAAGGAGACCCAATACTACAAATCCTACAAACCAAACAGATGATGGATTTTAAATCCAATCTATTCCAAATCCCATGGAATCCAAATCCCTCATGGGAATTCAAATTCCTCAAAAACATTCTTGCAAACCAAACGCACCCTAAAATCGTTTTTATAAGTTGAATGATCAAGAAATGAGTTTTTCAACAGAATCATTTTTTTTTAATTATTTGTAAAATTATGATTTATATGTAACAAAATAATAAAATAAAAGGTCATTTGGTCAAAAAGTTATCAACTATGTAATAAACTATGTAATATGTATGCCTTTTTGGTCAAAAAGTTTCGCGACGATATCTATATCTATACTATATTATAAAGTATTTGGCTAAAACTCTTAAACTTTTAAAAACTCTTAAACTCGTTCATCCCTATCCGATTTCATCCCATATCTGAATTCGTGTAACTAACTACAGATAAACACAATCAAATACATGATAAACATCTCATTTTAAATATAAAAAATCTAAAATATAATTAGGATAATCATTGAGTTCTAACAGAATACTTAATTATTATCTTTATAAAATGTT